CTCAACAAGGTTTGAATTACATTTAAGTTGGCCACCCACAGCCCATGGCACTGCTAAAGACATTTGTGTACTTTGCCCTTCTGAAGAACTCAGTGACAGAGAGCAAACAAACTCCCTGGTAATTAACAGTTTAACGAACATATCCTCTATATACAGGATTTTCTGCTCAATCCTTATATCTGAAGAACAGATATTTTGCTTAATGAAGTCATTCACTGAGCACTGTACACCCCAGTCTGTGAAATCACCTAACTCAACCTGTTTGCAAGCATCTGTCTCTTTCTTCCTCAATTTCCACTCAGGCAGACATCAGCCAGAGACACCATTAGCTCTTTTTGCAGAACACTGACAATCATTCCAGCAGATCCTTCACTGACACCTACACGTAGAAATACATGTAACCTACAGATGATAATAGATGGGTCAAGCTTAGATCCTCAGTTGGGGCAAATTCATTTTTATGGAATAAAACTAAGATAAGCAGCTTGGAGTTTGCACTGCAAACAGACATAAAGGAAAGACCCAATTTTCTGTTGTTCAGCATTTCACCTGGATTTGAATACTATTTGTATTTGAATAGTAGTATTTGAATACTAGCTGAAAAAATAAAAAAGGAAAAAAAATTGCCTTTAACCATCATCCAAAAGAGCTGTATGCACAAGTGTTTGAGTTTCCAAACAAATGTTTCTCATCTGTTTGAAAGCCACACTGGAAACAGAGTTAAGCCAAGAGATGAGTTTCATGGGTTGACTGGAAAGTTTTGAAAGGAAGGGTGGGGCTATAAACAGAGCTGCTCTAGTTCAGTTCTGCAGAGCTGTCATGAAAATTCACCAGTCCAGACAGAACGTCTGAAACATCTACAAATCCATCCATTGTGTGAGAATTCTGGAAGCTTGTGGCAAAAAAAAAACCCAACCAAACTCACAAAAAGAGCTGTTATTTTGCTAGCCTGTCCAAGAAAGCAATGATCCTGGGCATGAAAACAATTTTGTTTCTGCAAAACCACTTCAGAAGGATGATTGCAAAATTTAGAGTTTGGTATAACCAGATCAATAATGTTAGCAATATTCATTAATACTAAGGATATACTGTCCAAAGGTATCTTTTAGGGGCACCTTCCCAACACAGAAGGCAGTCACCTTCAGGATGACATTGCAAAATAGGAATTTCCGATGTAAGTGAGAAAAACAATCAATACACAGACCGTAGGTTAATAGTGCCCCCCTTCTTCTGTTTATCTGTGGTTTCTTCATGTCTTCTTAGCTGTGCAAGGAGCTCTGATTCTGTCTGTTTCTTGTTGCGTGGAAGGGAAGATGCAACCGCAGAAGCAGCCTTCACCAGTTCTGGATTTAAACTGTAAACAGAGACACAACAGATACAGAAACAAAACCAAACAAAACCTTTTAATATATTTAAATTGTCATTTCTGTGCTACCATTTTATATCTTAATAACTCAGAAGCTAGTCAGGTATTTTCCCAAGTGGGGGTGGCCAGTGGGACAGGCAGGTTTGCCCTACATTGCCCTAATTGTCAAATGCTGAAGGACTCTGACAAGCTCCTGCTCCCCAGCCTGGTGAAATGGCAGCCCTGTGCCACTGCACAGCACAGACCTGTGGGATGACAAATATGATGTAACACACTGTGGACAGGAGCAGCTCCAAAGACTCAACAATCATTATGCCATTCTTAATTTTTTTTCTTTTTCCTCACTTTTGTTGTGTTTTATCTGAACAGTATTTCCCTTCTCCCATTAAAATAACTTTCCACAGGCAGGTGCTAGTGCTACCTTTCCACAATCTCACTGCAGAACAAGGCAGCATAAGGTTGACAGCATACAGCACCTTTTGCTCAGATCCTCCCCTGTGATTCACTCCTGTCTACAACTCTGCACTACATTCCCTTACAAGATTCTTTTATACTGTTGGAAATTGTTTATTTGTCCTAAATAACAAAAAAAAGAAAGTTGAACTAAGGGTAAAACAGGCTAAGAAAAGTTTGTTATACTTTACCGTTGGGTGTCTTCTGTAATTCCCTGAGGCACAGAACCTTCCCTGTCCGGGCCTTCCAGCTTGCTCACAGCTTGCTTCTTCCTCTCACTGGCTTTTAATTGTTGGAGTTTCTTCCTGTAGCTCACCTCCACCTTCATATTACCAATAATGTCTAACAGCTGCTGCTTGGGTGCTTCTGCTCCATCCTCCTGCCTCTTTGCTGCCGCTTCAGGTGTGCTGTCTTTGGAAGCAGCAGATTTATCTTTGTCTTTAGAGAGCACGCTGCTCGTGCTGAAGAGCTCCTGTTTGCTAGATGATACACAAAGTTAGGAAGCAGAAGTTAAAAATAGGTGGTTCCAAGGCTGAATTTTGTAAACCTATCAAGAACCCCAAAAGAACAGTTACAACTGTCCAGGCCCAGCTGAGTGTGACCTGAGTATGTTCAGTACATGTTAAACATGTGCCTTTTGACTTTTGAGAAGGGCTGAGACACCATTTCAAACTCTTGATAGCTTCTGATTTCCTCATCACAAACACAAAGTAAACAACTTTGCACACCATTTATTTGTGGAGGAAATAATACAGAGTTTGAATTTACTGGTACCTGATACTTAAATTCATTGGTACTATAGAAAACTCACCAAAACTCTTAACATGGGTCAATAAAGAGATCACTCCCTGAAAAAAGACTTTACACACATACAGATAACCTCACATGTTTTCACACTTGTGGCACTACCACAGATCACATTTCCCTACTCTGCAACATGGATTCTGCTGCAAGTTAACCCAGAAACAAACAGGAAAGTTCTTTGGGTTATAGCTCCTCTGCTTAGCACATGACTGCAAAGAAGCTGAAACTGACACAGTGCAGCTGAGGATGAGAAGCCAGGGATAGCAAGGAGCTGCTCAGGAAATTCTGCAACACAGACACAGCTGCATTCTCTAGACTATCATAAATTCAAGAGGTGTTCTCTATAACATTCTAAATGGCAGCGTTTAAACCTTTACATTCACACCTACTAACTTTGTTTAAAAATCACCTTTAAATTATAGAAAGGAAAAAATTACTATTTCTTCTGATTCAAAATAAAAAACTTCAATAGATCTTAAAATACCTCCACAAATCTGAAGGAATTGTGGCATACCTCTCCTCCTCACACACATCTCTCTCTGGCTAAAAAAGGAAAATCTGCCAGTTTCAGCAGGCACTGCATCACACTTAGGTCATTCTGCACTTCATAAATTGTCAGCATTAAAATCTAAATTTCAATGTTGAGAAGCAACAGGGAAATTTAAGGAAAGCTTTAGAACCTTCTTACTGAGAAGATGGTAGGAACCCTGCTGTTTTACACTGCACTGCTCCCTAAAGGTCCTTGACAAACTCCTTTTTTGTTAATTCAGGCCACATGCTCTTTAAAACTATGTAACCATTCAGAAATCACAGATTGTTAAAGGGTTGGAAGGGACCTTAAAGATCACCCAGGCCTAACATTCCCTGCCATAGGCAAGGTCACCTCCCACTAGACTGGGTCACTTAAGGCCTTGAACATTGCCAGGGCTGGGACATCCAGAGCCTCCCTGGACAACCTGTCCCAGCATCTCACAACCTTCAAGCACAAGCATTTCTTTGTAATACCAAATTTCCTCTCTTTCCATTTGCACCCATTATTCCTGATGCAATTTGTACCCATATTCCTGAAGAAAAGTCTCTCTCCAGCTTCCCTGTAGGCCTCCTTCAGACACTGGAAGATTGCTATGAGGTCTCCATGCAACCTTCTCTTCTCCAGGGTGAACAGCTCCAACCTTCTCAGCCTCACCTTAGCCTACAGCAGCAGCAAAGCACAGCAAGGCTGAAAGCCTCAGGCACTTGAAGTCAGCAGCACACTGCAGTTTGCATTCCTGTATTTCACCTGCCATCCAGTTTGCCTACTGCTGGGGAGCTCGGCCTCGGAAAGCAAACACAGCTACCAAAGAACCCGAGCTGCTTTGAACATGAGGCCGTCACAGCACCGTGCTTGTTCAAAAATATCGAGGAGTTTTGAAATTAAAAAAAAAAAAAAAAATAAATGCACAACTGAGCTGTCATTAAAAGCAGCTTAAAATACTTCAGTAAAAACGAAGAACTCCCAAACACGGCTCTTAGCCCGCACTTTGTGCAGAAACAGCACCACCCAGCAGGCAGCGCCGCTCTGCTGATACCGGGTGCAAAGCTACGGTCAGAGCACACGCGGATCATTCACACCCCTCCAAGATGGGAAGGACGGCAAGGACAGCACTACGAGAAACACGGCCCACGCCACTCCCCTCCACCCGCCTGCACTCCCCGCTGCCTTCTGCCCACCGCTGTCCCGGCCACCCGGCCCCGGCAGGACAGGTGAGTCCCGTCCTTCTGAAGGCCAAGCCCCGGGGCACGGCCCGGCCACACAGCAATGCCCGGCCGGCGCCGGCCCCGTCCGCCAGGTGAGGGTGCAGGGGAGGCCGGTACCTGCGGGCCCTGCCGTGGGCCGTGCCGAGCAGCCTTGCCGCCAGCCCGCCGCGGGCCCGCACGCCGCCCCACATCCCGCACCGCCGCCGCCGCCTGCGGCCCGCGCTCCCCGCCCGCCCGGCCGGACGGGAACAGCAGCCGCGCACAGGCGTTCCGCGCAGCAGCGTTCCGGCCGGCTCCGCCCCGCCCCGCTCCCGGCACAGCCGGCCCGGCCCGGCCGCACCCTCCCTCACGGCCTGGGCCTCGGGAGCTCGGGTGTGAGGAGAGCGCTGCCAGCACGTCCTGCTGTGCTCAGCCCTGCTGAGGCCGCATCTGGAGTGCTGTGCCCAGCTCTGGGCTCCTTTGTGCAAGAGAGACATTGGGGCTCAATCTTTCCGAAATACGCTCCAAAAATGTCCCCAAGCCTTCACTTCATCTGCCCTGTGAGAAAAACGCCAATCACTTGTTTTTAAAATTTTAAAAGTTTACTAGTAATAAAATGGTTATAAAAATAGATTTATAATTAGAGTAATAAAAATTTTGGACAATTAGGATTAGGACAATATGAGGCAATAGACACAAAGAGTTATGGACGTCGGGGTATCTTTTCTGGGCAACATAAACCCGAAAAGGATACATGTTAACAGAGGATTAACCCTTAAAAGCAATAGCCTGTTGCATATTCATACATCTCATACATGATGTATAAATTCCACTCAAACACAGGATTCTGTCTGGTCTTCCTCTGAATCCTAACAGCGTTTTCATGGCTGAGTGAGGCAGAAAGAAATTTGTTTCTTCTGATAAGAGGGCAATAAATTCTCGGAAAGATTTAGGTGTCCTGTGGCTGCTATTTCGGTGCAAGTCCTTTCTTGCAAAGGCAAAAGGTTTGCGTGTGGTTGGCTGGAGATGGTGTGGGGCCCAGGAAATAGCTTGGGACTGCAGAATGGACAGAAACACAGCCTGCAAAGGATCCCTTTGCTCTCCCACATCAGACAAGTTTCCATGGCATCCCCCTGTCAGCTTCCCAGAGGTTACCCATCCCTTCATGCCAAAATACTCTGTTGAAGAGGAGTTGCGCCACTCTGTCACACGGTGTACCATCACATCCCAAAGCCAATCATCAATCCCAAACCAGACCTCTCAGTGTCAGCAAGCACTTCCACATTCCTGCAAAGCTCTTACGAGTTAAGGTCTCTGCACACATATCCCATTTTTGCCGTGCCTAAATCCTTTGAGGGAAACCTTGAAGTAAAACTCCAAACAAATTGATACCTCATCTTAGGAGAGTCTCTCGGGAGTCATGGCAGCTCTTCCATGGTCTCCCTACACACACCAAGTGTTGTTACTTCAGGGTATGCAATTCCTACATCAATTCTTCCTTAAAACAAAACAAGTGCTCCACAGCAGCAGGGTGCATGAACAAAAAGCAGGGTTCGGCTGAGCAGCCGCGGGTGCAGGCAGCAGAAAAAGCCGCGTGGTGGCGATATGCGCGTGGAAGCGCCGCATTCCAGAGCTGTGAAATCTCCCAGGAAACATTTCAAGCGCTGTCGCCGTCTCCACATTTTCTGCAGATAAGAGCAGATCAGGCCTGGTGGTGTGCCCGAGGAAGGTGGCAATGAAGGGACACCCTGAGACGCTCAAGGCCTGATGTTCCAGTGGCAAACGGTCATGGCAGGCAGAAGGTGGTTTAATGGCATCTTAATTGCAAGTTTCACTGCATTAGGGGCTTAGATGACTTTCACCAGTGGATCTTCCAGCAGTGCTACAGTCCTGCTAAACAAGAAGCCAGCACACAGGTCAAAATTCTTTGCAATGAAACAATAATTTCTTAGTATTGCGGATTATTTGGGATGCACAATTAGCTCAAAACCACTAATTACAACAGCAATTTTTTTACATTAAAGAAATTACAATTCAATTTCTAAAACCATTTATAACCTAGGCTGTTCTTTCTTAACAATTGCCACACCCGGAGTGCTGCATCCAGCTGTGGGGTCATGAGCACAGGAAGGACATTGACCTTTTGGAAAAAGCCCAGAGGAGGAACACCAAGTTGATCAAAGGGCTGGAGCATCTCCCCGGCAAGAAAAGGAGGAGAGAATTGGGATTGTTCAGCCCGGAAAAGAGAAGGCTTCAGGGTGACCAAAATGCAGCCTTCCAGTACCTGAAGGGACCCAACAAGAGCACTGGAGAGTGGCTTCAAAGTGAGAGTAGGTTTTGATTAGTTGTTAGAAAGAAATTTGTCACTGTGAGGGTGGTGAGGCACTGGAGCAGGTTGCCCAGAGAAGCTGTGGATGCCCCATGCCTGGAAGTGTTCAAGGGCAGGCTGAATGAAACTGAGCAACTCAGTCTAGCGAAAGGTGCCCCCGCCCAGGGCAGGGGGTTCGGAACTAGATGGTCTTTAAGCTCCCTTCCAACCAATATGTTTCATAAACATATGGGAAAATAAAATCTGCACCCTGTAATTAATTTAAAGTGATGGAAGAAAAGATTCATTAAAGTTTACATTTTTGTTTATGCTGTTTTTTCCTTGGTTTGTGCTGTGAAAGTAGGAGCCATTGGTTTTATTTGGTGGAAAACACCACGGATCTGAGATGAAATATGTAGGTCTGCGTGTCTCAACCCACGCAAACACATGTGCACTCAACAGGGATTATCGTGTTTCCCAGAAACACTGCCTGGTCTGGCAGAGCATCTCAAATATGACTGATCACTGGGACACATTATGGATGCTGTTCCTTTACCTTGCCACACACTGTACAGTGTCCAACTGCTTTCAACCAGACTTTGTTCCTGATAAGCCTTACTGCAAGCACTTCAGGTAACTGCAAATCAAAAGGGGGAAAAATCAAAAGGAAGAAAAGAAAGCGCTGTGTAGTTTCAGCTGAGAAAAGCAGTATTAACCCTTGCCATAGTAGCTTAGGTCATTGTATGCCACCTCAAAGTCGCGAAAAGCCAGGATCACAAAGTGACAGCTTAGGAGAGTGTCTTGGGACTCACGGCAGTTCCTCTGTATAAACAAACTGTTGCTGATTCAGGATACACAATTCCTAAACAAATCCTTTAAAATAAAACAAAAAACCCTAACAACCAAGTCACCCAACTGGAAAAAAATAAACAAACATATATCTTAAAACAACCCAAGAAAATGAAAAAAAAAATTGGTTTTAATTCATAAATTCGGTAGCATCCTGCTCAGTAAGCTGAAACACGGCCCAGCCCCAG